ATTTGGGAAAAAAAAAACTCTTCCAAGATTTCAAGAACCAGTCCAAATATCAATGAACATTTCGAAATTTTGAGAAAATGTTTTTTTTATTAAAATCTAACAAAAAGCTAAAAAAATAATAAATGGGAAGGAGGTACAACACAATGGCTTAGAATGCTGACATTTTATTGAAAAACGATGATATTATATAATTTTAAATAACTATTTAGGACATAAGCAGACAAGTAAACCAATTTTTTCTGAAATTATTTTGGTGAAAAGAAAAAAAAATATAGGGTTTTTGTCATAAAAGCCCCCAATTTTACACAAAAAACCGGTTATGCCCAAAGTCGTTTTTTTTGCCACAGATGCCTCAAATACCGGAAAATTGGTTCGATTTTGCCATTTACCTTGATTTTACCTTCTATGGTCGGTAGCCCACCTGGTCTTCTTCTCAAATCCTCTCCGCCTTCACCACCATTCGATTTTTCCCACCACCGTCTGCTTCTTCGATCGACAGGATCAAAAAAAAAAAATCTCAATCTCCAAAATCGATTAAAGGTTTTTTTTCCTCTTTTGATTTCGATCACCAATAATAGGTGGGGCTTGGTTCTTGATTGAATGTATATGTATGTTTGAGTTCTGAATTTGGTATCGAAGGGTCGAGTTTAGGAATGTAGGACTTCACATTCATGGTTTGAGTTGGTCAATTATAAAGAGCAGAAAGGGGAATGCCCAAAGGATAGAATCAAAGACAGTCTCGATGTGATTACCAACTTTTCTTTAGTAGGAAAATCTCTTTGGGAGTTGTAGTAGCAGTTAACTGTAAGCGATAGGGGAGGTGAGGCTAGAGCAAAGGAGCAAACTCTACGTCTAATCACCAATACTTGGACCTGCTTGGGGATTGATTGGTTCCCCTTAGGTGGATCGGTCCCAACAAGGCTATCTGTCTACTTGGCTCTGGTTGTAGGCCTTTCGCTTTTTTTTTTTCCTGCAAGAGGATCAATGGGAAAAGAAATTGAATTCTTTGAGTTCTGAATTCAATTGAAGAAGTTGTTTGGGTTTTGAATCGTGTTTCCAAAATCTCGTTTTAAGAACCAAAAAATATTGTTTCCAAAATCTTGTTTGATTTCTGAATTGTGTTTGGATTCTTCTTGTTTGAGTTCTGAATTGTGTTTGAGTTATGAATCTGAAATCATCTCCTTCTTTGAGTTGTTCTGAAAATTTTCTTTGACTTTTGAATTCTTGATTGGATGTGTGTGTATGTTTGTGTTTCAGTTAAGAAACCATATGTGTTTGAGCAGAGAAGATGATGGTGGTATGATGATGGGTTTCTGTGATTGAGGGATAAGGGTGGCGTTGGGTGGTGGTGGATGATGGATGGTAGTGGTGGTGATAGTGGATGATGGACGGTAGTGGTGGTGGTGATTTGTGTGTGGCTGATGGTAGTGCTGGTAGCAAAGGGTGGTGGTGGAGGAGGTGATAAGTAAATATAAGGGTTTCTATGATAAATGTAACTGACCCTAGAAGGTAAAATTTGATTAAAGGGCAAAAGTGAACCAATTTTCCGGTAGTAGAGACATCTACGGCAAAAAAAAAAAAGACTTTGGGCATAATTGTTTTTTTTTTGTAAAATTAGGGACTTTTATGACAACAACCTAAAAATATACACTATATATGTTGATAAGTCTGAAATTACCGATTATAGACAAAAAAAAAAAAAAAAAAAACTATTTTCGTAATCCACTAGCTATTTTTATTAATTTTTTCATTTATAGTGGTTATTTGTTAATATCCCTGTAGATTACTATTATGAGTTAGTTAGAGTTAGAGTTAAATAGACCAATCTATTATTTTTGTCTTTTTTTTATTGATTTTCAAAAACAATTAATAACTAGATTATAACTCGCGTTAAACGCGGAGGAACGCATAAAAACCATACAAACGTCTTTAAAATTTATTATTTAAATATTATTTGTTTTTTTTAATATCAAAGTATACTTTGTTATTTTAGGGTTATGAGCAAAGCCTATATAATTTCGATTGTTATTTTAGGGTTATGTCCCAAAATATATAATTTTATTGAGTTCTAAAAACTGTAAAAAAAATTATTAACAAAATATAGTAACATGAACAATTTTTGTTATTTATAGCAACATACGTTCAAAGTACGCTGTTATTTTTGCTCATTTATGTTATAAACACCTCTATTACACAGATTTTAACCTATAAATGGATCTTAAAGTTATATTATGTTCTATAGGGCATAATTATATTAAATGTCCTAACCTACATATCATATATCAAATATTAAAATAAAAGTATATATTAATTTAAAATAATTAGTATAACAATCTAAAAAACTTATATCTTATTAATTTCAATGAACGTATCTGCAATCATGAGGTTTTTCTAATGTGATATGGTAATAAATCAAAAGTAAGCAATGTCCATTTGCTGAACATATGAAAATAATGGTTTTGCCAACACATCTAGCAAATAGAGTTGTTGAAGCATCTATAACAGTCTTCATGATTATGCAAATAATGAAATTAAAGAATATTGGTGAAGATAATAACAAATTAAAGTTGGTTAACAAATATAGAGATATAATTGGAAAACATGTGTCGTGATTTTATATTAAATAAAAATATATATCAAAAATAGATTAATTAAATCCATTTTAATAAGATTAAATTAAATGATTGTTTCTAAATTGATAAGGGTACATGATTTTGAAAAGATTTAAAGATAATATTTACTTATTAAACAATTAATCATAAATGTCTACATTCTATATATTGAAACATGATAAATATACATATAATTGTTTTGGAAAATGTTTATGATTGACGGTATAATTGGAATGATAATCTGCATAAATAAGAATATAAGATTCATTAAAGAAATTAAAATTTGTAGAGTGTGTTCTCATGTTGACAATTATACCCTTGGTCATAAGGAAATTACATTTAAACTTAAAACAAATTGACAATAATAGACTTGGTACACATAGTTTGTTATTTATACTTAAAACAAATTGATAATAATAGACTTGGTCAACATAGTTTGTTAGGAACAATAACAAAATTATTGTTATAAAATCTTGTTTGTGGAATAACAAACTTAGTAGTGTAAGCTAAAGATTATGAAGATTACCTTTAAACTTAAAACAAATTTAAAATAATAGATTTAATCAACATAGTTTGTTATTTAAACTTAAAACAAATTGACAATAATAGACTTGGTCACCATAGTTTGTTACGAACAATAATAAAAAGTTATTGTTATAAAATCTTGTTTGTGTAATAACAAACTCAGTGGCTTAAACCAAAGATTAAGGGATCGAGAAGTAACTTTTTGGCCAAAGTCTAACCTGTAAAGTCAAATATTGGGATCCTATTGCAAACTTGCAAAGTAGGATGATATAATGTGTATATACTTTTAAAAAATAGTTGAAATATAACTGTATCATGCTGCAAACCAGAACTAATCAATATGATTCCAAACAAAATTTTATTTTAATTAGGGTAAGGATCCTAAATGTTGACGAATTATAAGAAAGTTTGATAGTAGAAATCAAAATTAGTACCTCCAAATCAGTAAGATTGCAATGATGGATGAAAACAGAAAATTATTTTAGCTAAACTAAAAACAGGTCAAATAAATTAAACGTTATTGAACCATATTTGAATTCAGAAAACCTTTTAAATATAATTTCTAGAGAAAACTCAAATTTTATTATAATTACATTTATCCTAAAATAGTAAAATCTACGCGTAAGAAAAAAAAGGTGTCTTCAACCCTCCTTTCCTTGATTGTTCAACGAGTCCAGGCCTACCTATTTTATCACTTCAAAATCGTGTGGATATTTAAGGGAGGCCCATTGGACCTTTATGCAATTTTAGTTAAAAGATGTACATTGCCTATCGGAATGGTGATAATTTGATTATAAAATTGGTCTTGGAAAATTCTTGTTTTTTCAGACAGGTTACAAACGATCTTGGACCACGTATTTTTCGGCCTGTTCTTCGTTTTTTCCATGTCTAGCAATTTTTTGTCTGTGTCTTTTTCGGTTCGGTTTAGATGTTTTTCAGTTTTTGGGTTTCAATTTAGGGTTACGTGAATAACACGAAAATGATAAATTAAGATTTACTAAAAATGATACATTAAATTTTAGTTAAAGAAATAAGGAAAAAATTGGATAATGTGTGTAAAAAAACATGTACTAATTAACACAAACATAATATGTATATAAACTTTGACTTTGTTTCTTTATGAAACTGGTATCAGGTTAGTTTTTAATCGATCTTGGGTCGGTCCGGTCTTGTAACGGTCCTTTTTTTTTTGGACCAGTTAAGAGGGTCTTGATCCGGTCTCGTCTAGACAGGTTTGTTTTTGGTCTTCTTTTAGACCAATCCAAAAATATTTAAATAAAGTATAGGGTTTAAAGTGGAATTATTCGAAAGATTAGGCGGCGAAATTGAAACCTATTAAATTAGACCACACCGCCTTTAGAATTCGTAGCGAAGGGTGAAATCTGAACCCTTCTCCCACACTATCACGCAGAGTTTAAACCCTTCTGTCGTTAACCTCTGAAACCCTTCCTCCGACCCTCCACTCGCAGTTTCTCCGGCAACGCTTCAGGTTAGCTTTCTTTCTACCTTGAAGTTTAAACATACATTTTCTGCTCATTGTTACGGTTTTGTATTTGTTTACTTAAAGTATATGCATCGAGCAAAACCTAAATAGGTAAACTTTATTAACAGTTTAGTTACTGGTAGGTCGTGTTTCTTTTCATTCTTTATGCAACTGCTCGATTTACGCTGTGAAATCTAGTGTATATTTTGGTTTTTTTTCAGTAACTTGTGTATGTCTATAATCGAAACAATATTATCCCTCGGTCCCAAAGAGAAAGGTCGTGGAGGTTTAGCGGATTAGTTTTTAAGCTTACTTTTAAATTGATTGGAGTCTGCAATTTTGACAAATAGTTGTGAATCTTTATAATGGGAATTAAAAGAATGTTAGCATTGTAAGTAAGAAATTTCACAAAAAAAGCACATAACATGTGTCAGTAGCTAGGTACTGATGTATCCTGAAATTGTTTAGTTTTTTGGTGATAGCAGGATGGATGACAGCTTGTATGATGAGTTTGGAAACTACATTGGACCTGAAATCGAGTCTGATCAAGAGAGTGATAGAGAAGATGAAGATGAAGATCTCCAAGAAAAGCCTGAAGACGAGAGGGCCGATTCTGATGAAGAGAATGGAACTGCTGGACCCAATGGATGGATGACAACTGGCGATGATGTTGATATGGAGAATCAGATTGTTCTTGCAGAGGACAAAAAGTATTACCCTACTGCAGAAGAAGTCTATGGTGAAGATGTGGAAACACTAGTAATGGATGAAGATGAACAACCCCTTGAGCTACCTATAATCAAACCAGTAAGAGACATTAAGTTTGAAGTTGGTGTTAAAGATTCATCCACCTATGTGTCAACCCAATTTCTCTTAGGCCTTTCATCAAATCCCACTTTGGTTAGGAATGTTGCTTTGGTAGGACACTTACAACATGGGAAAACTGTTTTCATGGATATGTTAGTTGAGCAAACACACCATATTTCAACTTTTGATCAAAACAGTGAAAAACACATGAGATACACTGATACAAGGGTAGATGAACAAGAGAGAAGGATATCAATTAAAGCAGTTCCCATGTCACTTGTTCTTGAAGACAGCAATTCAAAATCCTACATGTGTAATATCATGGATACCCCTGGACATGTTAACTTTTCTGATGAAATGACTGCTGCTCTTAGGCTTGCTGATGGGGCAGTTTTGATTGTAGATGCTGCTGAAGGCGTCATGGTAAGTCATCTGTTACAACATTTCTTTGATCTTTACATAAATATATAAACTTTTTACATCCATAAACTCATAAACATGAAATTTTTGGTATTCTTTAACATTGATGATTATCAACAGGTGAATACAGAGAGAGCAATCAGGCATGCAATTCAAGAACGCTTACCTATTGTAGTTGTGATAAACAAGGTATTCTTTTTAATTTTTTACTTTATACTTAACGTATAATAGCAATATACTTGCATTTATTTACTCATAATAGTAACATACATTTCTGAAATTCCAATTCTACCCCTTGATATAGGTCGACAGATTAATAACAGAGCTCAAACTACCACCTAGAGACGCCTACCATAAACTAAGACACACAATCGAAGTCATCAACAACCACATCACAGCAGTCTCATCGACAGCTGGCAACGTCCAGGTCATCGACCCGACAGCTGGCAACCTCTGTTTCGCTAGTGGAAGTGCAGGCTGGTGTTTCACTCTCCAATCATTCGCCAAATTATATGTCAAACTTCACGGAATCCCATTCGATGCCAACAAATTCGCCTCAAGACTTTGGGGAGATTACTATTACGACCCTGCCACTCGGGCTTTCAAAAAGAAACAAGCCGCAAGTGCAGGGGCAGAACGGTCATTTGTCCAGTTCATTTTAGAACCACTTTACAAGATCTACAGTCAAGTAATCGGTGAACATAAAAAGAGTGTGGAGACAACTTTAGCTGAACTTGGTGTCACTTTAAGCAATGCTGCATATAAATCAAATGTAAGACCCTTACTTAGATTAGCTTGTAGTTCAGTTTTTGGATCAGCTACTGGATTTACAGACATGTTGGTCAACCACATCCCTTCTGCTAAACAAGCTGCCCCTCGAAAGGTTGACCATATTTACACTGGAGTCAAAGATTCAAGAATTTATAAAGCCATGGAAAGTTGTGACCCATCTGGTCCACTCATGGTCAACATTACTAAACTCTATCCCAAATCAGATTGTAGTGTTTTTGATGCATTTGGTAGGGTTTATAGTGGGGAACTTCACACAGGGCAAACTGTTCGTGTTCTTGGAGAAGGGTATTCACCAGATGATGAAGAAGATATGACTGTGAAAGAAGTGACAAAATTATGGGTGTATCAAGCGCGATATAGGATACCCATTAATAAAGCGCCACCTGGCTCGTGGGTTTTGATTGAAGGTGTTGATGCTTCGATTATGAAAACTGCTACACTTTGTAATGTGGAATATGATGAGGATGTGTGTATTTTTAGAGCTCTTCAGTTTAATACACTTCCTGTGGTGAAAACAGCTACTGAGCCTTTGAATCCAAGTGAGTTGCCTAAAATGGTGGAGGGGTTGAGGAAGATTAGTAAGAGTTATCCACTTGCAATTACTAAAGTTGAGGAGTCTGGTGAACATACGATTTTGGGGACTGGAGAGTTGTATCTTGATTCGATTATGAAAGATCTCAGGGAATTGTATTCAGAAGTTGAAGTTAAGGTAATTTGATTATTTTTAATTTTCTAATATTTGGTTTATACTTTTTTTTAGTGTTATATTTTGGGAAAGGAATGGAATGGTTTATTTCATTGGAATGAAAAAAAGTGTCTGTTTTGTTTTATGGAATGGAATGGAAGTGGATCATTCTTGAAGGAATGTGCTTCTTTCCATTTTCATAATTGAATGTGATCGATTTTTGTTAATGTAATCTTTGATGATATAAAACCTTTTTAATAATTTACGATTTTGATTAAATTTACAGTTTTGTTTTCTAAGAATAACTTGGAATATACTTTTTATTATAGTTTTATTTGGGTTTTAACGAGTATTTATTATGTTTCTTTTTTAATTTTGTAAATAAGAAATGTGTTAATTGTAATCAAATAAAGTATACATTTATTATGTTTCTTTTTTCATTCCATTGTGGGATGGAATGAAAAAAATGTAATATAATCCATTTTTCTTTAATTAATGTTAATGGCACAAATCTCTTACGAAAAAACTTTTACAATTTTACTTATATTACTATTTTATTTTCTAATACTTTCTATCATGATTTTAGTTGCACTCTAATGAGCATTTATCTTTTTTTTTTTTTTTTTTTTTTTTTGTAAATAAAAAATTCATTCATATTAATTAAGTAATACTTAGAGTAGAGTTAAAGCTATGAATTGTATTTACATGTGGTTTTAAAATATATACATGGTATTTACATATAACATAAAAATTCATTTGAAAATCCATTCCATTTGAACAGTTCTACCAAACATGATCATGGAATATAATGACTCATTCCATTACATTTTTCTAATTCCATTCCATTCTTTTGTCATTCCATTACATCCAATCCAAACAAATCCTTACTTATTTCTATGTATCAAACAGGTGGCAGATCCAGTTGTTTCATTCTGTGAAACAGTGGTGGAGTCTTCATCAATGAAATGCTTTGCTGAAACTCCTAACAAGAAAAACAAAATTACCATGGTACGTAAGCTATACACCCTTTCTTTGGAATTATCTTTTTTCTCTCTCTTTTTTTTAATAAAAAAATTGTATCTAATATTATTTTTATTGTTTAGATTGCTGAGCCATTGGAGAGAGGACTTGCAGAAGATATTGAGAATGGTATTGTAAGTGTGGACTGGCCTAGAAAGAAATTAGGAGACTTTTTTCAAACCAAATATGATTGGGATCTTCTTGCTGCAAGATCTATATGGGCCTTTGGACCCGATAAACAGGTACAAAAATATAAACCAAATAGCCAAATATATTATTTCATATTTTTTATTTTAAATTACGTTTTAATCATGTTACAGGGTCCTAATATATTATTGGACGATACCCTCTCGAGTGAAGTTGACAAAAGCTTGTTGAATGCTGTAAAGGATTCCATTGTTCAAGGGTAAGTTGGTCTTTTTATCTTTTATCTGTTAGCAATACAATCTTGTGATAATGTGAATGATTGATAAGGAAAGTAGAAATAATATCATTTTGTAACAGAAGAGAAAGTTAAGTTACATAAGGTTTTTGGAATGAATGGAATATTGAACCTTAGTTTGTTTCGAGACTTTAGTACTAATATATAATAATATAAACATAACAGGTTCCAGTGGGGTGCACGTGAGGGCCCACTTTGTGATGAGCCAATCCGTAATGTTAAATTCAAAATAGTAGATGCGAGAATTGCACCAGAGCCATTACACCGTGGAACCGGTCAAATCATTCCAACAGCTCGACGTGTCGCCTATTCAGCTTTTCTTATGGCAACACCACGCCTTATGGAGCCTGTCTATTATGTTGAGGTAATAATACCTATAAATATTATATTTGCATTTTATCTAGCTAAATATTCTAGAAATTTTAAATAAACTTCAGCATTTAGGCCTATTTTATTAATTACTTATGACATGACAAGACAAAACAAGTTGTACTACTGCATTTGGCATGTATTGCACTAGGACTGATGTCAAAAGGACAAAAATTCTCAAAGGTGGGACAGAGACTCGTTCTCGATTTCTCATCTGTGCAAAAAGACGTAAATGCCCTTCTCGTCCCTCATCATTGTCTAAATAAATATCCCTAGAAAGCTTGTCCTATCCCGTGTAACAAACGCAGCCAGCCTTAGGCTGCTTTTATTTACCTGGACGGGACCGGAGGAGCTTTTTAGGGATATTTTAGACGATGACGATTTACGTCTTTTTGCACAGATGAGAGATCGAGAGCGAGTCTCTGTCCCACCTTTGAGAATTTTTGTCCTTTTGACATCAGTCATAGTCCAATGCATGCCAAATGCAGTAGTACAACCTGTTTTATCTTGTCATGTCCTTCCTACATAACAGATGGGCCCACATAGGATATATTTGCTTTTCCCTATATTTAAATTTAAATTTAAATTTCAGATTCAAACACCTATAGATTGTGTTCCTGCTATATACACGGTGTTATCTCGTAGACGTGGACATATAACTGCTGATGTACCCCAACCAGGAACTCCAGCCTATATAGTGAAGGTCAGTATTTTAAATCTACAATGATAACAATTGGTTCTATCTTGTTTCTTCTAACTTCAACTTAATATATATTATTTTTGAATTTTCAGGCGTTTTTACCTGTAATCGAGTCATTTGGTTTTGAGACAGACTTAAGGTATCATACCCAAGGTCAAGCATTTGCCCTTTCAGCTTTCGATCACTGGGCAATTGTTCCTGGTGATCCACTCGACAAAAGCATTGTGTTAAGACCACTGGAGCCTGCACCCATTCAGTACCTTGCACGTGAATTTATGGTCAAAACAAGGCGTAGGAAGGTATTTTATTTTTGTTTAAAAGACCAAAATACCCCTATATATATTAAAATATATATATATTTTTTTTGATAGGGAATGAGCGAGGATGTGAGCATCAATAAGTTCTTTGATGAGGCTATGGTGGTGGAGCTTGCCCAACAGGCGGCTGATCTGCACCTTCAGATGATCTAGTGGCAAAAGAAAGATGTTGAACTTTTATCAATGAAATAACATGCGTATATCTGCCTAGTGATAAAAGGAGGCATTTCAATAGTAGTGATGGAATTATTGACTGATGGGATTTGATACTATGGGTATGATATGCTATTTTTTTAGCGGTTTTGGTCATAGTTATTGATGAATTGAATTTTTTGTACCGAGTAAATTGTAATTCATTTATCGGCAAATTGAGTTTTTGTATGATGTGTGGCTACTGACTAGTTCTAGTTATTAATCTTTAATCAAAAGAAGTTACACTTATATTTTTTTACCAAATCGATGATGCTTAAATCACATCACTTAACATTTGATAATACCTAAATTGTTTGTTTGTCATGTTTTCTGAATTTTGAATTAAAATTCTTATTTTCTTTGATCTTCTTTGGTGACGTTAATTAAATTTCTAATAGACAAAATTGCAAAAATGGTCTTGTGGTATGTATTTTTTTGGGGTTTTAGTCCAAATCACGACTTTTTTGGATTTGTGGTCATTTTGGACTAGTTTGTATGTAAAAATGTCCCTCCGAAAATTGAAATTGAAATGACTAAATTGACCTCTTAATATATTTTTTATATTTTTTTCTATTTAATTTGATGTTTTATTGATAATAAAGTGGGGCCCACACCCCATTCTCTCTCTCTCTCTCCTGAACACACAATCGTTTATCTTGTTCTTCAAAATACACAAGTTCTTCAACACATACACACATAAAATTTGGAAAATGATTCACATGGGTTTATATTTTTGGGCAGGAATTATTTTTCGTTTCGTATTTGGAAATCAATTTATAGATTTACACTTTAACACATACGAACAATCGAAAGGGAGTGCGTCTTCATCTGATCGGGGGAAGAGGAAACAAATCGGCAGCAACATTGACATCGGAGTGGCTGATGAAATCGCGAGGAGGGGCGGACATCGACCTCCGGTAACGATTAGTGAAGGAAAAGAGGCGGCGACTTCCCTTGGCTGTTTTTCTGATCTGACGAAAATCACAAACGGAAATGGCAGGAGTGGCAATTCTCAGGTGGTGTTTGGTTTGTTCCGTTCGACAAGAAGGAGGAGTCGAGTCCTCGTTGCCGGAAACAAATAGGGGGGGGGGGGGTGAAGGCTGTAATGGAAAACAATTCTAGTGGGGTGTCGGAGGTGCTTACTTGACGAATGGAAGAGACGGGGTAGAGGTGGCAGTTGGTGTCTCCGACGAGCCCTTCGTGGCTTGTTCTTCATCTTTGGCAGCTTTCAGAGCGACGGAGAAAGTACCCATGTAGAAGATGGTGTTGGGGTTATTAGTTGACAAGAGAAAAAGGTAGAGGAGGGCTGCTGCACTTTTCCGACGGCCGGTTTCCACCTCTGGTGGTGGTTCAACGAGAGAGAGAGAGAGAGAGAGAGAGAGAGAGGGAGGGAGAGGGAGTTTTCTTAATTTTTTTAATTGTAAAAATAGATAAAAAAAAAATGAAAGAAAAATGAAAAAGAAATACTTCAAGGGTATTTTAGTCTTTTCAGTTTTTCGAGGGACCAAAATTACAAGCAAATCAGCTCATAAGGATCACCAATCCAAAAAAGTCGAGGTTTGGACTAAAACCCCAAAAAATGCATATCACAGGACATTTTTGCAATTTTGTCTTTCTAATATTGTTTGGTTTATCTTTTGAGGTGACCGCCTTTTCTTTTTGTTTTGTTGTTTTTTACTTTGGAAAATTAATAATCTAACCAAATTCAACCAAATTCATTAATGATTTCTCACTTTTTAACGAAAAATTAGGATTTGTTTTAAACTAGCCTACGAAACCGTAGGTGGTTAAAATGACCTACTGTTTTGATTTTAGTATATAATTTTATTTTTTCATTTTTCACTACGAAACTGTCGACGAAAAAATGGTCTATTGTTTTCTCTGAGAAGTCTACTGTTTCCCAAAGAGTAGATTAAAAATAATATACTGTTTCGTCCAAAAGCGGTTTTGTTTTTTTGTTTGTTTGTTTGTTTGTTTTTTTTTTTTTTAAGATTAAAAAATACACTCACTTTTACTCTAAAAGAGATTTTTCTTTTAATATATAGTAGGTACGATATAATAGTCAAAATACATGAATTAGTAGTCACATACCCAAAAAAAACCCAAAACCGTAGGTTTTTAGACGAAACAGTAGATCATTTTTAATCTACTCTTTGGGAAACAGTAGATTTTTCAGAGGAAACAATAGACCATTTTTTCGTCTACAGTTTCATAGTGAAAAATGAAAAAAAAAATCTTTATATACTAAAATCAAAACAGTAGGTAAATGGGCGAAACAGTAGGCCATTTTAACCACCTACGGTTTCGTGGGCTAGTTTAGGACAAATCCAAATTTTTGGCTAAAAATTGTTAATCACTTCCTTAATTTTGCTAGATTAGTAATTGCCCATTTTTCTTTGTTATGGACGAATTTCAACTTTATCATCTTTAATGATGAACAGGAAATTAGAAATGATTTGTGGTTTTTATCGACATAATGTGTATTTTGATATTTTCTTTAGACATACAAGAAGATACAAACCTCGGCCAAAATCACTTTTACACTCTTCCATTATTAGATATATAATGGAATTATCACTTTTACACTCTTCCATTATGTATATAATGGAAGTGTATAATGTTAGACCTGAATAATTATATAAACAGGGTTGAATAGTGTCAGCAGTCACCAGATGAACATATATGACCACAGGGGCCGAATGGTGTCAGGATTTGAACTTAAGTATTTAATTGTTTTATTTAAAAATCATTAAACATGGTATTATAGAATTTCAAAATTTTAAAATTCGTATCAACATTGATTGCAGATTTGTAGGATTAATTAGGATCTTTAATTGATGTTTTGTTTATTATTCTACTAGTTTATAATCCGTGAAACCACAGTTATAAAATTAATTAAACTTTCATAGTAAAAACTCAAAACTATTAATTAATTATTTTAAATAAATTATTAATTAAGAGATATATTTTTAATTATATAAATTATAATCGTTGATTTAAATAAAAATTCATAAAATTATATCATCTTATAATCTTTATTAATTTAATTTAATTTTTTTATTGTAAATTAATTTAATGTAATTAGAGTGAGAAAATTAAAATTTAAAATAGAGAATCAATAGATTGACAAGTAACATAACATTAATTAGGAGACTTAATATGATGACATATGACAAAAGAAATAATCTTTTATTAGTATAACGAGATAAATAAGATATTATTATATATTAAAAAAACGTATTAAAACTACATATTAGAATATCCAAAATATAAATATTTATTCACAACATTTTTTAGAATTCTTTCTTTCGGGAAAAAAGAACTTCTCTAACAAGGGTTTCAGGCTAGCTTTCTCGTACTGTCAACCCCGTTGCAAACATGAGACTATGATTCATGACCTGGAGTTGTTGCAGACGAACCTCCAGGGCAACAGAGGCCGAGTAGTGTCAAGATTTGAACATGAGTCAATATGTTATTCACCATATCTTCCACTTATCTTACCATGTCACCATGATCCAAATAACATTTTTTAGAACTCTTAATTGGTGTTTTACTTATTATTCTATAAAAAGTATATTATATACTAAAAACATATGAAAAGTACATATTCATATTAGAATATCCAAAACATAACAATTTTATAAAACTTGAAGTGAATATACAAACTAACAAATTCCAATTAAAATTTCCATTAACAAGACAACTTTGTTAAATACAATTCCAACTAACAAATACATTGCATATGGTTTCTTGAATCATCGTTGCAAATTTGACATAACTTGAATCATGGTTACAAATTTGACACAATTTAACACTTTCTTTTTGATTCAATGATCTAGTAATTGTCTTCGTCTTCAAACTTTTCAATCTTTCATCTACAAAAGGTTGACATCAAACGTTAAAGATAAACACACGAATAAAGTAGGAAATAGTTATGAACCTTTATATGAAAAATAATATATTCAAATAAAATTGTGCTATCACAATAACAATGACATAAATTTTCTTCAGAGAATATTTATTATGGGGGTTATTAAATATGAATATAAACATATCAATATGAATAAATTCTCTTCTATTGAGAACATATAAAAATTAGTCATAAATAATATTTATGATGAAATGTTAATATTATTATAAACATAATCAAAGTAATATGCATATAGTAATATATTTTCTTCCATGATAAAATACAAAATGACAAGAAATATAATCAAATTAATACTCATATAAGAATTATATATAATTTTCAGTATATGCCGGCTAATAAAAATAATACTCGCATATTAATTAGAAAGAAAGGTATGTGGGTGGACATATGTGTCTAATATGGATTTTTAGTAAATCAAAATTAGAATTTTTTAAATGAAACAAATTTATAACTATGGTGATTATATACGTATTAGTCGAAACTCATTACATGGTTAACACTTTAAAAAGCAATATTTAACATTCTAACACAATATTTGAGTGATTATACATGGAAAAACGTAAATGTAAAAAGCTTGTCGAGCCAATCATTTTCAGATATGATAATATAAATCGATAACAATAAAGTCATTATACAGTACAAAGTCTTGTGGAAATATATTTGTTAGAAAATCATATAAAAATATCATTAAACACATTTACTTTAAAATATCAAATTCATGTGACCATAAAATCAGACTAATATTCTACTTTAAAATATCAACTCATAAACTTGGTGTCATTGTATAGTTAATATTCTATTTCACCAAAATCAGACTAATATTCTATTTCACTAATATCAAAGTGCAAACCATAATCCTATTTCCAAAAAAGATCAAGATACCTTAAATAAAATGTAAATAACCTTGATCACCAAAGGTAATGGTATGGAACATATTGAGAATTGTGACGAGTATATATATTGACTATAAATAATTGAGTAAATTACACCAAATGGTCGCTATGGTTTGAGGTAATATATGTGTTTAGTCTCTAATTTTTTTTTAACTCGGATCATCCCTATAATTTGTTTTTATTGGACGATTGGTCCATGTCTCAACTAAAAAGATTATTGTATCCTTATAAATATCTTTTTTTTAATTAATTCTATTATTTATGTATTTCTAGATAGGCCCACTTGACCCAACCCCAACCCTCGTTTCTTTCCCTTCCCCTCCTATCATGTGTCATGTTTGCCATTTTTGAAACCCGTGTAATACCAAGAAAATGAAATTAAAGCAAACCGATTAAATTGAGCTAACAACCAAAGAGTTTTGATGAAGAAAATTGTGTCTAGGTTTCCTCTCCTTTTTCTCACGGGTTCTTATCTCTATCTATCTCTCCAAACTCTCTCCGGGTGTGTTTGGGTTAGCTTTTTTATCGCAAAAGTGATTTTTAAGAAAAATGTTTATTAGCTTATGATTTTTAGAAAAAACGGATTTTAAAAAATGTTTGGATAAGAAAAACTGTTTTTTAGAAGTAAAATGACTAAAAACTAGGATTTTCCATCTTTTTGAAAGCTTTATTTTTTTCAATCCAAAAAGCTGTTTTAAAAAACGCTTTTTAAATACACAAACACTTTTTTAGCTTATTAAATTTTTAAAAAACAAAAAAGCTAATAAGCTATTTTCAAAACTATACCAAACACCTACTCAGATCGGTATGGTTAAAGAACATGTTTCCTCATCCCCTCCCTCCCCGTCTCTGATGGTAACAGTGACTCGAGCCATTGTATTCGCCAGGTTAAAGGTTAAATGTTGGTGAGTTGGGATTCGTCATCATCGACTCAAAGTTCATGAGCCGTACCCATTGTCATGAATCAATGGTGGATCAATCAGATTCAATGAATTCGAGTTTTTGGTAAATGGTTGATATCATCGGTGGTGGTGTTGTTGGACGGAGAAGACGACTAGTACAAGTGGTAGTGCTTGTTAAAGAATATGACCAATGCCCGGGTAAAGAAACCCATATTGTAATCACAGGGGTTACTGGTGGGGGTTATAGATTGATGAGAGGCGGCGACGGTATTTGGTGGTGGTTCCATCAAAGAGAGGAAGGAGATGGAGGAATGGTCTTCTTTTTTCAACGTAATTGTCTCCGATTGATTTCTTTGTGTGTGGGGGTTTTCTGATCAGAAAAATCAACGACGGCGATTTTGATTTAGATTATCAAATTTCTCATATGGTTACTAAAGTGGTTTAGTGGTTGCATCAGGTTTTTTTTGGATTTTTTCTGGTTTGAATTCTTTGAGCTCACTGGAGAAGACGATGTAGGTGGGGAGGGGATGG